TCATTTAGAACCCAAGATAGTAATGTTTAATGTTTCGTCATGGCGACCATATTGGAATTCAAAATGGCTGCCATATGGTTTGTCAGACATGTCAAATCAATCCATTATTGAACTGAGCATGGCAAAATGCTCTTGTGTACCAAATTTCAGCGCCGCAAGTCATTTAGAACCCAAGATAGTAATGTTCAATGTTTCGTCATAGTGGCCATATTGGAATCCAAAATGGCTGCCATATGGTTTGTCAGACATGTCAAATCAATCCATTATTGAACTTAGCATGTCAAAATGCTCTTGTGTACCAAATATAAGCGCCACATGTCATTTAGAACCCAAGATAGTAATGTTCAATGTTTTGTCATGGTGGCCATATTGGAATTCAAGATGGCGGTTGATCCATTGGTCAGATCTCTTGGATCCGGCAATTTTTGAAATCAGGGCCGTAAAATACTCCTGTATACAAAATTTCACCCTTTCTGCCAGATGTGAACATTTTTTTCACATATCTGCCCCACTAATAGGAAGTAGGGCAAGGAATAGGCCTACAGTGTCGATTGTTGGTTTACTACCGTGTTGCTTTCATTACATTGTCCTATGAAACTCTTCGTGCTCCCCTTCATAATTTGCCAAATGCTTGACCACTCATATAAATGATAAGTGCATGCTATTCTTTATGCATACGGGTTTTCCCCAGGATTGACCCACATTAAGTACCTATAAACTGTTATCATCGCCGATCATACTCGCGTACAATCTATAATGTATTATCAGGTACCTTAAATACAGCATTGAAAAATAAGAAGAAGGATCGTTCGATTGTAGAGGACATTGGGGATATGATGCTATTATTCGTGAGTATATTATTTCTGTTAAAGCAACAGTGTGTACACCGGCGGATACGCGCATTCATCGTAGAACAGCAGAGCAAAGCCACTCTCTTAGAAGAATATTACTTAAGATATGTGTACAATTTGCTGGTTTTACTTGGTATTAACCGAAACAAACATGAATTTCTGGTAGCCCACCCTTATTTATCTCGGTAACCATTAACTAACACCAATAATTGTTTTGCCTTGAAATAGTCATTAGGCCTACTCCCTTATGTCTCTCAACTGAGCTCTTCGCCGTGCCATTCACTCGTCACCGCTCCCTCTAGCTGACGCCCTAGCGATAACAATATCCGCCTCCATACGATGCTTCAAAAAACATCAGTTTACGCCGGTTTTTTTAACTATGCTTTTGAAAAACGTCTTGCGTTTTTGATGTGTAAATCTACACGCTTCTTTAATAAATAAAAAGGTGTGACAATTCTTGAAAAAATCTACACACGGCGAGACTGGTCAAGATGTTTTAATCACCAGGGTGCACCATTTGCATGGTTTGCCTTCCGTAGGCGAACCCCCCCCCCCATTCACAGCAGTATATACGGCGATTAGAATAGACGTGCATAAATAAACCGCGTTTTGCCTCTCTAAATGGTAGTGTCAAAGGATGTAAAAATATGACGTATTGAAAACGTTAGCATCGTGTAATCGTTTACACCCTCCTGCGCACAACGACCACACCCTCCTGTCATATCTTTCCAACTATAACTAGCCGACCATGAGTATTAGGCTCAATAGTCACAGACATAAGATAAAAGTAAAAAGAGGGAGAGAGGCGATGGAGAGAAAAGAGAGCAATAGATATGGGGGCGAGAGGAGAGAGTGGAGCGAGATAGGAAAGAAAGAGCGATGGAGAGAGAGTAAGAGCGAGAGAGAGAGAGCGAGAAAGTGAGAGAGATGGGAAGGGGGTACGTGGCATAGACATAACTGTCACAATTTCCATTAAATATAGCAAATAAATTAATACCTAGGTGACCACATTAGAAGTAATACGAGCTAGCGGACGCTAACTTGTAATTGCTCCTCTCGTATAGTTTGATGGCGAGGCCGGAGAGAGATTCAAAAAGGCATGCGCCACTTTCTGTGCCAACCAGTGTCTGGCCCTTGACCAGCTCAAGTACAAACACCGCAATGACAAGAAAGTTTCTCAATTCCTGGCGGTAAGTTTGGAGTGAGGTTGTGGTATCGAAATGTACATACTGTACGTTTTGCGATCTTATTTGCAATTATATATTATTTTGCGATTATATATCGTTAACATAATGTAGCTATGACAGTGGATAGAAACAGTATATATGTAAAAAGGATTTCGAAAATTCGAAAATTCGCTTGGCAAATTATTCAATTTCTTTGTTAATCCATTTTAACACACACTGCAGGAAGCAGAGAGCAACCCACTGTGCAGAAGGCTTCAATTAAAGGACATCATACCAACAGGGATGCAGCGACTTACAAAATACCCTCTACTGTTGGACAACATTGCCAAGTATACAATGCGTGAGTTCGTTTTGCCTATCAGCAATAATATCTAACCTGTAGTTTCACAATAATCCTTGTATATTCGCACCTTCTAGTAACGTTAACTATATTCAAGTAAGACTGTTGGCTGCGTTGCAGGCAGGTAACATCTCTACTGCACGAAAGAGATATTTACATGGCAACCAAGCAACATTGGACAAGTCTCTATTTCTCTGTTATCAGGCTTTGTCATGCCTGTGGTTCAGTTTGCAGATTTTAATTTTTGTCTCAATTTTGCAGATCCAAGCGAAGAGCATACCAAGATAAGGAAGGCACAAGAAGCTTGTAAGAAGATATTGGCACACGTTAATCAGTCAGTAAAAGATACAGAGTACAAAACACGGCTCGCCGAGATTCAACGGAAGTTAGACTCTTCTGCAATGGACAGACATCCGATGGGCAAGGATTTTAGGGTCAGTGTCATTGATTTAGTTAAGATGTATTACTGTATATATGCTGTGGAATTTTAATTGTGGAACTTTGGATAACTTGTAGTTTATCGCCTGTGAATCGCCATATTGTCAAATGCCATCGTGCCTTTTTCATTATTCCATATAGTGGGGCAAATATGTAACAAAAATAGGTCGAAATGTTCACATCCGGCAGAAAGTGTGAAATTTTGCATACAGGGGTATTTTGACATGCTGAGTTCGAAAATTGCCGGATCCAAGCAGTCTGACCACTGGATCGGCCGCCATCTTGAATTCCAATATGGCCGCAATAACGAAACATTGAATATTACTGTCTTGGGTTCTGAAATGACCTGTCGCCGCTGAAATTTAGTCACAAAGGGATTTCGGCATGCAGGGTTTAATAATAAATAATTTGAAATGTTCTACAAACCATATGGCAGCCATTTTGAATTCCAATATGGCCCCATGAAGAAAATTGAACATTACTATCTTGAGTTCTAAATGACATGTGGAGCTTATATTTGGTACACAAGAGCATTTTGCCATGCTGAGTTCCATAATGGATTGATTGACATGTCTGACAAACCATATGGCAGCCATTTTGAATTCCAGTATGGGCGACATGACGAAACATGGAACATTACTATCTTGGGTTCTAAATGACCTGCGGCGCTGAAATTTGGTACACAAGAGCATTTTGCCATGCTGAGTTCAATAATGATGATTTTGACATGTCTGACAAACCATATGGCAGCCATCTTAAATCTCCAGTATGCGCCGACATGACAAAATCGCTGAAAATCTTAGGTTCTAAATTACGTAAGCACTGAAACTTAAAACTCACAGGAATTTTTTATATGCTGAGTTTAATTGTTTAATTAGAGCAAAAAGCCTATTCCAAAATGTTTTCTTCGCCAATGTGAAAGCTGTAACATGCCGCAAGACGTTTTCATTCATTTTACTTCTCCTGTTGGCTCATCTGGGGGAGCATATGTCTGGAGCAAAAACACATTCTGTGCATGGTAGATTAGCCGCGGAACATTTGCAATTTCCAGCCACACCGCTTTCTTACATTTGCACTTAATCAGCTCTCGGCACCCTTTGACGACTCTGCCATTATGTCCAAATTGGACGCCAGCCATCATCAGCATTTTTCGCCATCCCAATCTGCAGTGTAGGCAGCTCTGGGTTTGCAATTTGAGACTGTCCCAGATGTGCCCAGCCTGAAAGACTGCCCTCTTCACATGTTGGCGCAGGACTCTCCTGTCTGTCGGTGGAATGTTTTCCAATTGCGATATTCCTGAGCAAACAGCTGCTTCCGTGCTTTGTTCACTTTCTTCAGACAGGCGAAGTTCTACTGTACAGAACAACGAAGAACCTCTCTATGTTGTTCATGTCATCATTTTGTACTTCAGCTGGTGCATGTGAGAATGCATTGAAGGCCTTCTTCAAGTTAGCATGGAATTCCATATGTGTTCCACGCGTCCTTTTGCCAATCCCAGATATGACAGAAACAGTATCGCACTCCGAACAGCGTTGCAGGAACAAAAAGGCCCATGAGCGTTCAGGGCTAATGAGAGTTGCAATAGTGTGAGCAGCAATGTGCCTGAAAATTGTTCCATGTCCAAATGCCAACCACATTGCACAGCCGTCCATAACGCTTGCCATCGCGATCGCCACACAACCACATCCGTGTCCGTTGCATGAATTACTATACTTCTGTGCCCCGCTGATATGCATGCCAAGCATGTAGCACAATGCGTGAATCAGCCTCTTCATGCGTACATGGTTCAATTTTAGAAACATCAGAATGGGGCTTTGATTTAACATCTTCTTCATTGGTTGTTAGAAGTATTTTTCCTTTCTGCGAACAGCCATCGTTTGCAGGCATCTGCAAAGAAACTGAATAGTGTCTTTTTGTTGCGAATCTACACGAGAAGCTGCTCCAGTTTCGTGGTACGGATGTCTGTCAGTCACATGAGTGGTATTGCCAGTTGCTCACACAAGCCTGGTGCTTCCTTTGAGACTTTTCCGTTCTGTAGGTTGTCCCACGACTAAATCAACACGCCATAACAGACTCCTCTTTCGGGCAAATGTACGCGAAGCGAACTGTTTCTGTGCATAGTCACCAAATGTCCTGACCACACTGTGTGCACTTCGTAGCTCAACTGGTGCGACTAAGGCAAGCCCCATCGAAAATGCTAACTTCTTCTTTTGCATATCACGAGACGTGGCTGCCAAAGCCTTCCAACACGGCGCAAAAACTGGTATTTATATCTTTCAGCCAATGCTGGTGGCGCACCCATGACAGCTCATGTCAAAGAATGTATCAAGATCACCATCTCTGCTTGGCTAAAAATGTACATTCGTGAGAACAGCGCCACATTTACTTGGCATACTGTGTACATCTTCGCCTGAAGCACTTTCCATTGTGTGTTCTCTGCTTCGATTTGAAACAGTTGGCAGATTGTTCTTTGAAATCGGTATCATAGGAAATTGACGGAAGGCATCCTTGATTCGCCTGCTCCACAAATCTGTCATATCGTAGTTTTGCCAGCTGTCTCACGGATCGCACTGTGCGCTATTACTTCATCAGCATGATGACTGTGGATTGTCAAGCACATAAGGTCTTACTGTCTTCGCGAACGGGTTTTCCAGTTTTGCAAATGAACTGATCTGTCATTTATTGAGATCTGACGCAAACGAATATTCGGGACAGCTAAACAATGTTCGTGGTGGCGGACATCAGTTTAGCCACTGTCTTTGAACTGTCTTTGTCACTCAGGATTCTGCTACCCGCCCCCGTCCGGTCTACCTCGATCGCTACTCAACTCGGTCACAATTCCCCCATTACTCCTTACCCAATCAGCCTCTCACCCCCCGTCATACATCCCGTCTATCTCATGATCCTTCCTCCTCGGTAGACTTACTCCTCCCATACACATACCACACCACTCACCGCTATTCCTGCACAGCCACCACTCCACCGGCCGAGAGCCCCTTCATTCTCGGTATATTCCAATAACTCCACCAATCAACCTTTCACTATAGCGTCTGCCTGTTCGTGTATCTGATCGTGTGCCAAAGCAGAAAACTTGTGTGATGACTTCTTGAGCTGACAAAGTTCACCTGACATAGTCACGATGGATATTCACGGCAATCGTTTGGGAAGTTCCTGAAGGTCCTATTACATGCAGCTGTCCACCATCTGGCTAATGCGTAATGGTCCATGGCAAACATCCACGGAATGATCGCCGTTTTAAGGGTCTCCACATTACAGCGCTGTATGTTGGGCCTCCCGTTGCTTGATCTTATGAATGCCCAAGGGAATCTTATGCTGCGTACTGTATGTGTGTGTGTCCCCGCGACGTGTCGTGCGTGTGGTGTGCGCGTTGGTGTGTGCGCCGCATATGTGTGTGCCCGTAGGCTGCGTGTATGTTGTGTGTGCGCGAGCGTGTGTCGTTGCGTGTGTGTGCGCGCGTGTTGTAGGAGATAAGTATTGTTCAACATTTCGTCATGTCGCGCCATACTGCGAATTTAAGATGGCTGCCATATGTTTGACCAGACATGTCAAAGATCAAATCCATTATTGAAGTCAGCATGTCAAAGATGCTCTTGTGTACCAAATTCAGCGCCCGCCCCAAGTCATTTTATGAAGCCAAGATAGTAATGTTCAATGTTTCGTACATAGTGCCCATATTGAATCCAAAAATTGGCTGCCATATGGTTTGTTCAGACAGCTCAAATTCATCCATATATTGAACTTAGCATGTTCAAAATTCGCTCTTGTGTACCAAATATAAGCGCCACATGTTCATTTAGAACCCAAGATAGTAATGTTCAATGTTTTGTCAGTGGCTTGGCCATATTGGAATTCAAGATGGCGGTGCATCATTCTGGTCAGAATCTCTTGGATCCGGCCAATTTTGAAATCAGGCCGCTTAAAATCACTCCTGTATAACAAAATTTCACCCTTCTCTGCAGATGTCAACATTTTTTTCACATATCTGCCCCACTAATAGCGAAGTAGGGCAAGGAATAGGCTACAGTGTCGATTGTTGGCTTACGACCGCTGTTGCTTCATTACATTGGTCCTATGAAGACTCTTCGTGCTCGCTTCATTAATTCGCAAATGCTTGACCAACTCATATAAATGATAAGTGACATGCCTATTCTTTATGCATACCGGGTTTTCCCAGGATTGACCCACATAAGTACCTATAAATAGTTAGCATCGCCGATCAGTACTCGCGTAACAAATCTATATTATAAGTTTCGTAGTAAGGCCTTAGATACAAATATCCCGATAATCTTTTTAGATACTTTAGAAGTTTTCGGTGGATATTTTAGAAAAATCTGGATATGTAGAAAAAATTCCTTAATATTTATGCAAGCATAAAACACAATTTTCTCAAATATTAGGATTTGCATAAGGAATGAGTGGTTTATTTCTGCCTATAAATTTTTTTAATTTATATTATATTCAATTTTTTTTATGAATTTTTATAAATATAATTCTGTATTGCGATTTTTTCGCACAAAATAAATATGCTTTAAAAGACATTACGTTGAAATTACGAGATATTTAGAAAAATTTGGGGATATTTAGAAAAAAATGGCAGATATTTATGAGATTTTGCGAGATATTTCGGAAGGATATTTTAAGGCCCATTTTTCTGCAGATATTGTATCTAAGCCTAGTTCTAGGGCCGTTTTTCTGTGATAACGTGTCGCGTGCGTAGATATTAGTTATAGGGCCATTGAACCGGGTCGTTTCCGTCACAGACAATTTACATGCGCCATAATGTCGTTCTGGTTTTAGTTGGTTTTTGGAATGGAACGTTCACGAACTTTCAGAAACAAATGAAATTTATATCCCAAAAGTACGAACACTCGCCAATGGCCTGCGCACAGTGCATGTTGCCGATGGCTCGCAGCCGCAATTTCTGAAAGCGCGCGCTAGATGACGTCACCAGAAGTATGTCTATTTAAAAGCACGAGCCTGAGTGCGCTTGCACAGCCAGAGAGGCGTACGCGGCGGATTTTCTAGTGTTTGGGAGAACTACATACATAATAATCTAACATTTACATACCTGCCCCAGGGGCGCCATTCTATTAGATACTACAACCCTATCAATCAACAACGCTAAGGCTAGCGCCTCACCACGTCCCGCGATGCCCGCCTTTGCCGCCATGACATCATGCCCGCCATCGACCAGTAGGCCCCTAGCCCCCACAGTAGCTCCGCTGTCAATGATAATCGGATGACATTGTTAAACTTAATCTCGTTATCTAACATAGCCGTACTACTTAAGCCTACTTATCTACATACGGTACTTACTTAAGGCGCTACTTATCTACATTATAAGTTCCTTATGCGCTGTAATGGGACGCGTAATGATCTCAGTTATGCCCCGCGCACACGCTTGTGGAACTTTGCTGCGCCAAACGTGTCCGGTTTTCGTCACAGACAAGTTACGCGGAAAATATGTTAGCTTCAGGTTTTAGGTTTTTAGTGGCGTGGTTTACCGATTTTATGCCGACACGATATACTGCGGCGGAATTATTCCCTTCAGTGACTACCGCCCTAGACCCATATACATCCAACCCAACCCGATCAGGCTGGCCGGGTTCTGCGGCTAGTATCCATGATACGAATCTACTTGAATCTTAGAACATGGACCTGACCAAGCACACGCTGATGCACAATGGGGACCTCGTCTGGCGGTTGACGACACACAAGTCGATTACGATCCACGCCGTGCTGCTCAACGACCTGCTCGTGCTCATGCAGAAAGCAGACGATAAATTTGTGCTGAAGTGCCGCAACATCAACATCGTGCCCGGCAAGGACGAGTCGAAGTACACGCACTGCCCAGTCATCAGGCTGGGCGAGTTCATGTTCACCAGGAATGTCGCGACGGGTAGGGAGAATAATAATAGCGTAAATCGCATATGTAGCAATTCAAAGTGGCGTCTTAGATCGCACCATTCGGAAAACTGCTAGGAAATTTAAGCATGGCTCTCATTAGAACACCGTCATTTAAAGCACTTCCTGTTACAGTTGTACGGTTGTAAGTGCGACGTGCAGGGGTACCCCACTTTTAAGTGATACTACTAGTTTATACTAGACCAGAGATAGCAAATCTACTAGCCATGGACATGCCGTAACTTTACCAGTGTTCGCCTTAGAACTCTTCCCATAGACGAATAAACAATTAGTAACAAATGTACGGATTGCTAATACGCTTAAATGTTTTTCGTCTTGATGTAAATTATTTTGTTAGGGCAGCACTAATGTCCCCAGTTCCGTTCACTGACGGATAATCGCATAATACGTTATATAATGTAGTCCTCGATTGCCATAATTTGTTCGCCTGAGATGCGTGACGTATTCACATGCCTTATAGTTACAAGTATGCGATGTTTCAGATAAGCGAGCATTCCTAATCTTCACCAGCAGTCGAACGGGTCCACAGTTCTATGAGCTGGTTGCACACACACCAGCTGAGAGGAAACGGTGGCTGCAGGCTATCACAGACTCATCGGAAGCCTACAAGGCAACGGCATACCGGCCTCCATTACCTACCAACCCACCTCCTGCCATGGAGGAGGATGGGGGAAAGCCAGATATGGAGGAGATGGAAGAGATGGAGGTGCCAGAGGAAGAGGAAGAGGAAGAGGAAGTAGTTGAGGAAGAGAATGCACTAAATGAGTGAGTATTTTTGATGGGAGACTGATGTGAACCGCCATCTTGTGACGCAAAAATACCGATTAATTTAATTTAGGTAATACCTTAGGAGAATCTAAAAATGTACCTTGATAGTTATACTACGGTACCTAAAATGTTGCCTCCGTGAGTTATTATTATGTACTGAAGTAGATAAGAAGCTTCACACCAATTACACATGAGTTTTAGCTTGAGTGCACTATTTAACTATAACTATATACTAAACTATTAACTCATATTGCGACCGAGCCCAGTCTAGAGATATTGTTCATCATCTGTTGCAATGACATTGCCCGTTTTTATTTATGGTACGTACATTTCCAACATAACATAAGGAAAACAAGTGATAGCCCGTTTGTAAATACCCCTTTTTAGGGATGACACTCTAACAGCTAATACCATTGAAAGTGACGATGACGCTGAAGCAGAAGATGAAAATAAGGACGAAGATGATGAGGAAGAGGAGGAAGAGGATATTAAGATGAGATATGAAATCATACAGCCGCCAGTATTGGTTAGTCCGACAGAGGTCAGTGTCACACATCACGTGGTGGAAAGCGCAGAGCGTGTCGTCACTCCTCTTGGTATGTATACATCAAGTTAACCTTACACGATTCTTTAAAAATCAACCCAATCAACAAATATTAGGTACAAGCACCAAAATACCTAATAAAAAGATAGATTACAGTCTTTTTCCACATTTGATAGCAGATGCATGGTCTTCAATATGCGTATCAATGTATCAACCAATTATATCAAAGCCCTTGTGTCAAAAGGACCATATTTCACGCACGTACCTTACAAGTAATAAGTTACTAGCAGATTGCTTACATGAAAGTTTTTTTTTATGCCCAAAACACAGTTTATTGTTGCTTTGGGCAATAGTATATGTAAAAATACAGCCAACAGCACTGGGGACTTTTATAAATTGATACTATTCTGTCCAGTAATACAAATGTGGCATCGTAATGTTTTTATAGCGCAGCTTCAAGAAAGGGACTACATCGTAAGGACGGCATTAGATGACAAGAACAGAATCATAGGAAACCTGCTGAACCTATCTGTGGAAGACTTTCCAAGCACTGCTAACGTATGTTGTCCCTGATACTTCGCAAATCTATAAACAATAACTGATGAATATGCAAGACGTACCTAAATAACGGAAAATTCTACTATGGGCTGAATTAACCCAAGTACCGAGGAGTTATTGTCATGTTTTCAGACCGCTTGCTCAAAATAAAGCATTTGGGATAAATTCATAAGGTTATTTTAGATCAAGCGCGTGTCTGTAAACATGGTTTTCATTGCATTTAGTCTGGATTCATAGTGATTACGTTTACATTTGCTATCATATGTTAAATATTCTGCGTTACAGTATATTGATAGAGTTAGTAGTTGATGATAACCTCGGGGGGGGGGAGGGGCACTCGGCCCCCACATTATGGGAGGTATGTGCCACTGCGAAGGCAAAATGGGGGGGCTCTGGAACTAACTCCGACCTGAAAATGGGGGTCTCTGGAACTAATGTTTGTTGCATGTGGGATGCTCTGGAACTGGCTTTGGAGTTCATCATTGGATGTAAATAAACAAGAACAGCAGCAGCAGCTAACCATCTTTCTATCCATATGCGCATGCGTTGCATGCATGCCTTCACGGCCCGGCTTCAACGTATTCTGAAGTACGATGCACTGGAACGGAAATGTTAAAAACTAGGGTCTCCGGAACGGCTAAAATGTAAGATCTGCATGGTAACTAAACTTGTAATGCTCTGGAACGAGATATTCTTAATAATGCGATGCACTGGAACAGAAGTTTAGGGTTGAAAATGAGGGTCTCTCCCGCGGCACATACCTACCATGCAATATATATGGAGTGCCCCCCCCCCCGAGATGGTAACCGAAGATAGCAAACTATAGGCGTGTTCACACACAAGAAAAACCGCGATGCTCATCCCGCTAATAGCGGAGATAATAGTGAGATAATTGTGTCGTTGTTCACACATGCGGAAATATCTCGCTAATCGCCCTGCGGGATAACACGCCGCGGTGCAAATAATCGCACTAATTCCAAATAGCGCAGTCGGAAGTGCGATTTGGAACGCGCTATTTGGAGCGCGATTTAGTGAGATATTTGCGTTCACACTTGTAAAAATCTCGGTATTTCGAGCGGGATGCAAAAACCGAGATTTGCATCCCACTAATTCCCGCCAGTGTGAACGCACCTTTAAAGTTAAAATATATTTCTACATTTTTTATCTAGCCTTCGCAGCAGGAAGAGAAAATGGATGAAAGCAAGAATTCTAGGGAACTGCTACTAGCCGCAATTCAGCAAGGTGCGTTTCACATCTGAATTCTGAGTCAATGTTAATTTCATTTATATATTACTATTGAATGGAATTTACTTGACATTGGATCGGTTGCAACCTATAGCTATACCTATGGCACACATTTTGTTTTCAGCCAACAATCTTTCAAGTCTATTGAACGACAATATGCCATCACTGGACCAGCAAAGTGAGTTACTCCATTATACTACTTCTATCTAGCTGCTAGTATCAAATTCGTATATCCCAGTAAGATTCATATGACTGAATATGTTTTCAATGTCGAGCTTATGGGCTTTTACTAATTATTATAAATTGTTATAAAAAAATTATGTGTATATTATGTATTTATCATAAATGAGTTACTTTCAGGATTATTATTGTTTGCTGTATATGCTTAGTCTAAGTATAAACGTCAAGAGCACCTAAACTAGTTATGTGCTACTGATAAAATATGGGTTGGAGCCTTTCCTGATTCTCAATATTCTCTGTAAGTGGCATTGATTTCCCACATGCCTTGAGTTCAAAAGGAGACAGTTTAGTACAGCGAAGTGGATAAATATTTATCTCTTTAGTTGAACTAGAGAAACTAAGAAGCAAGGAGGAAGAATGTGGCGATACTACACAAGTCGATTCAGAATCCGGCACATTGCAGTCACTATCTACAGAGAAAGATCGGTTGCCACGCAGGATGGCAGCACCCCCGTGTGAACATTTGCTAGCAATTGCCAGCTCCATCAACGCCAATCTTACACAATTACTCGTGGGTTTAGTATTGCAATACGAATATTGTGAAATAGACGTCATACTGGTATTGAAATGGTATAAATTATTGCAGGAATTTGCATTGCAAAAGCGGCAAACAGAGCCATTTCACGTCAAACACAAACATAAATGCGTGGTAGCTTTGACAAGTGGAATTTCGCACGTAGTGCATTGTATCGAGTGCTGGGATCTCTCTGCAGGCTATAACGATAGAGAGAGACCAGGAGCACGAAATGATGGTGCAGCGAGTGAAGCAGCTCAACGAGCTCCTGGCGACGCAAACGCCCCCTGGTAGCAGACCGAGCAGCCTAATCTCGAATAGCATAGCAGTTGCTGAAATGGTCGGGGTCGATCCAAATGACACACTCACGATGCCACAAAAGCTTGGTAATGTTAACTTTACAGTGCTATTTATTGTGGACGTGACTCTCTCTTTCTCTTTCTCTCTCTCTTTTTCGCTCGCACGCTTTCTCTGTCTATCTGTTTTACACATGTACGCAAACGTGTAAGCATAACCGCACGCACGCACTTTCTCTCTCTCATACACTGTCTCATACTCTCGCGCTCTTTTTCTCTCACTCTCTCTGTCTCTCTTTCTCTCTCTACATTTTACTTCTCCTGTTGCTCATCTGGGAAGCATTGTCCGGAGCAAAAACACAGTTCTGTGCATGGTAGATTAGCCGCGGAACATTTGCAATTTCCAGCACACCGTTTCTTACATTTGCACTTGATCAGCTCTCGGCACCCCTTTGACGACTCTGCCATTATTGTCCAAATTGGACGCCAGCCATCATCAGCATTTTTCGCCCATCCCCAATCTGCAGGTGTAGGCAGCTCTGGGTTTGCAATTTGAGACTATTCCCAGATGTGACCAGCCTGAAAGACTGCCCTCTTCACATGTTGACGCAGTGACTCCTTTGTCGGTGGAATGTTTTCCAATTGCCGATTTCCCTGAGCAAACAGCTGCTTCCGTGCTTTGTTCACTTTCTTCAGAGGCGAAGTTCTACTGTACAGAACAACGAAGAACCTCTTTATGTTGTTCATGTCATCATTTGTTACTTCAGCTGGTGCATGTGAGAGATGATTGAAGGCCTTCTTCAAGTTAGGCATGGAATTCCATATGTTCCACGCGGTCCTTTTGCCAATCCCAGATATGACAGAAACAGTATCGCATCCGGAAACAGCGTGCAGGAACAAAAGGCCCCATGAGCGTTCAGGGCTAATGTGAGTTGCAATAGTGTGAGCAGCAATGTGCCTGAAATTGTTTCCATGTCCAAATGCCAACCACATTGCACAGCCGTCCATAACGCTTGCCATCGCGATCGCCAACACAACCACATCCGTGTCCGTTGCATGAATTACTATACTTCTGTGCCCCCGCTGATATGCATGCCAAGCATGTAGCAACATGCGTGAATCAGCCTCTTCATGCGTATACATGGTTCAATTTGAGAAACATCAGAATGGGGCTTTGATTTAACCTCTTCTTCATTGGTCGTTAGAAGCATTTTTCCTTCTGGAACAGCCATCGTTTGCAGAGCATCTGCAAGGAAACTGAATAGTGTCTTTTTGTTGGAATCTACACGAAGGAAGCTGCTCCAGTTTCGTGGTACGGATGTCTGTTCAGTCACATGGAGTGGTATGCCAGTGCCACGACCAAGCCTGGTGCTTCCTTTGAGACTGTCCGTTCTGTAGGTGTCCCACACTAGATCAACACGCATAACAGACTCCTCTTTCGGGCAATGTACGGAAGGAACTGTTTCTGTGCATAGTCACCAAATGTCCTGACCACACTGTTGCACTTCGTAGGCTCCAACTGGTGGACTAAGGCAGCCCCATCGAAAATGCTAACTTCTTCTTTTGGCATATCACGAGGACGTGGCGCCAAAGCTTCCAAACACGGCAAAAGGTATTTATATCTTCAGCCAATGCTGGTGGCCACCCATGACACTCATGTTCAAAGAATGTATCAAGATCACCATCTCTT